AGCAATATTCTTTCTATTTTTTTTGAAAAGACCAAACAACTACAATAGTCTGTTAACATGTCTTAGCAATATAATTTAGAGCTGGCTTATATGCAAGAACTGTAATAAAACTGAACGCATAAAAAGCATCAAAAATTACAACTCAACTTGGGAAACGTGAACTCATAGGGTAACATATGCGTTTGCATCTGCAAAAAAGGCTCTCATAATAAATTTCGGTGTCTCGCGTGAATCAAATCACGTTAATCACTTTTTCCAGCCAGAAATTTAACAGGTTATGTATGAACGTTTAAAAAATTCAATAGTCAAATCTCGAAAAACTTGATTTGAAAGTGAACAAACTTTAAGACGTTTCCTCACAAAAAATAAACAAAAAAAAAACACCGCGACCTTTATAAGAGTCTCAACTACGTTCTTAGAGTCTTTAAAAATCACAAAAGCTAAAATACAGAAAACGTAAAGGTACAAATAAGCTTTTAATAATAAATCTTTCGCTATATGCCGTAACCACTCGGAAAGTAAGAATCTCACGTCAACGCATCGGCGCCACGGTTGATTTTAAATATTTTAACTCTACCAAGCAATAAAGTGGCTACAGGTGCTATTGAGTTGCTGTGCTTTGACGCAAAAAAGCCATAAAAAACAAATTAATGTTCCGGATTGGAGCATGCTATGTAGGTTGAAATTCTCATCTCCACAGTCGCTTTGAAACACGAACACACTAGCCACAACCAAAGCAGCTACAGATGCTTTCAAATTTCCAGTCGTTGGAAATAAACCAAAAGAGCCAGCAAAAGAAAACTTTTCTTTGCGAATTAGTTTGGGGGGAAAAGTTGCTTTGTACTATTACACTACGCTCTGCATTCGTAAATAGAGGTCATTGAAACTTTTAATACTGAGGCGTAGCTGAACTTCGCACCACTTGTGAATCAAAAAGGAATGACTATAATTACAAGTAACTGAAACGCCAAATCAAAAAACTGAAAGGCAATGCCAAAACACAAAAAATCTGGCTAGTTTTGAAACAAAAACATGCCAAAACAATATAATGTGAGATTCCCATCGAAAGAAAAATTACCAAGTGGAAACAAAGTCGAAATTACTTTGGCAGAAACCATTTAAGCGGAAACAAGACTTAAGATTATCAAGTTTCCCTGACACTCCCAACGCACACACAAATAAACTTGATGGTCAAAGGAACAATATGAGGCCATCATGCCGATATAACATAGGTTGAAGCAGAAAAAAAACACCAAGCAGAAAAAAAAACGAAACAATTTAGGACTGCTAAAAATTCGCCCTCAAAACACGCACACACAAAACAAACTTTTTTCGCTCGTCAAAAGACGCAATATAAGTCCATTAAGTCAATATAAAAAAGACTGAGCCCTATCAAAGCTAAAAAAACAAAGGACCCTAAAAAAAGTCTTAAAAAGCTTGAACAATAATTTCTGTTGAGATTTTAGCAATTTGTGCGATCCGGTGAGCAAATTTTTTTGGGCTCATCCAAAGATGAAATATGCGGCCATTAAGACCATATGATATCGGCCGAAACCTATCAAATCGAAAGCCGGAAAAAATATTGTCATGAAAAACTTCAGAAAGTATAAAAATATCAGAAAGTGTAAAACAAAATTTTTTCTTTCTAATGACTCAAAAATAGGTCGCAAAGCCGATTAAATATAAGCCGAAATCATTTGGAGCGATTGAAAATATACGAAGTCTAGAAAATAAAAAACAGCAGCAGAATCACATCCAAACTCTAAAAGCAACTACAATGTAAATTGCGAATACACAAAAAAAACATATATACGATGTGGCAATTAAGCTCACATAACATGAGCAGACAAATTATAAATAAACAATTTTTTTGAGACGGATGATTTCCCGTTGGAAAAAAAAGGTCATGTCAGATTCTAACCTAGGATTTTTGCCGTCCCACACGTATTCCTCCTGACTGATTGTAACAGAGAGACGAAAAAAAATTGAATTCATTATGAACTGAGCTTAAATTCACCTTTTCTTACTTTGACCAATCTGTGACAAAAAACTTATTCACTTAGGAAAAAGTTTATTACCCGATTGCAATACCCTTGCTTATCGCAAGGGTAAAAAAAACTTCAGAAAATTATGAAACATTCTGAAAACTGCAAAAGCCAAAAAATTCTGGAACGCCAGAAGAAGCCGAAACTTCAAAAGTCATACATACGGGAACTAAGCCGACAAAAGTGAGCAGACATACGATAGTCTACTTCACTTTAAAAATTTTCAGTTCGCAAATAAAACAAGTCCTGAGTAAAATCGAACTCTCAGCATTTTTGTCGTCTCAAGCATGAGTTTTACCACTGCAATAAGTCGGCAGAACTCTTTTAGAAATCAATTTTATAACACAGAGACAAAGCTGAGATACATCAAGTATAGGATTAAAACAGCAAGACGCTCAAGAACTATCAAAGAGAACAATTAAAAACCAATGTGTTATGTTTTTTTATGTTTAAGTTTATTTAAATTTTTTAAAGACTTCCAAGGTGTGTGGATTTTGGGCATTCCAAAAACTGGGGCCACAATTATATAGATCTCATTAATAATATCCGAATATTGATGAAAGAAAACAGTAGGCAAATAAGCCGACAGCCAGTCTGAAAATCAATCAAAATGTTTTGGAAAAAACATGTACTTCCGCAATAGTATTTATCAGTTGATCTGGTACTGAAAGTAATAAACACATTATTAATTAAGTAACAATAATGATAAAACTAAACCGACAACCTAATCGACAAGCATAAAACCGAAAAACAATGAGCAAAATCATAGCCAATCGTAGATCGGAAAAGATTAATGAATGTAATTAAACATAAAAAAAAACACTGACTTTGTTGAAACTTTCGAATTTCAAAGAAAAAAATAGATGCCCATTGAGCTTTTTGAATTTCTAGAACGATTTATGGCTTTTTTGATATTATTAACCCATTTGAGAAAACCAGATCAACAGATAAAATTTAATTCCGCTGGAAATCTACAAATTAGATCAACTTTCGAAACTAGAAACCGTTCACGTTTCTTCGCGCCATTTTCACGTTCGTATTTGGAGAGTGCTATTTACGTCCCTTTCAGCAGATGTATTTCAATTGAACTCGAAAAGTGCATGTATACTTGAACGCATTCATAATTGCATCAAACTATATGAGTGCACATCTGTAGTTATTACAGACTTTTATGCACATTTTAAGACTTTTGCCTGAAAAATGAAACAAAAAATCACCAAAATGTATAAAAGAGTCTTCACTAAATTACTCTTAAAAATATTATAGTTATTTTATAGCTACATAAACAGCTAAAAATATCAAAAAAAACATGGCCAGACAAAATAAAGCAAAATTAGCATCGGAACGAAACTTACCAAGCGGCAAAAAAGCCAAAAAAAATAGGCTGGAACCCTTCATGCCGAAAAAAATTCGAACATTTCGAAACTAATGCAAAAAGTTAAAGTCCCTCTTCCCCTCGGAACACACACGTACACAAAATTTATTATCGGTCATCGAACGACGTATTTACAGCCACTAATTCGATGAAATGAGACAAAACTTATCAAGCCAAAAAAAATGAAAAATACTAAATTTTAACAAATCGAGTTGGTAAAAGTACAACCAACATGAAAAACAACTTTCGATTAGGTCGAATATTAAAAATGTTAACATTCTTAAAACATGTCTGTTGCAACAGAAAGGCTAAGTAAACGAATGCAGTAGCCAGACGAGTTCTGTGAACGAAGTTATTTACGGAAAAAGTCTATTACCGAAATGCAATATCCTTGCTGCTCGTAAGGGTTTTAAACAAGTAACACGCGAATAACATTTTCACGTGCGAATGATTAGTGAAGAAGTTGTTTCCCTGAAAATTTTTCTTGAAAAATCACCCTTGAAAGTATCAAAAGAACCATGAGAAGTCAATCTTGTTTTATGCTTATTCATTGGTTAAGCCATCTGCTCTAGTTGGTTGCAGGTTGCTTTTGTATATTTCACTTCCCAAAATGAGGGTCCGACAGAAGGTCGACCACATGGACTCCCAAATCATCACAATCAAATCGTCTCAATCTCTAGCACTTAAATAGTACCTATAAAATTTCCGGCAGCGCCAATGACATTCCAGAGCACTCGTTCAAAAAATATCTCATGTTGTACTTGCGATACATGAATTTCTCCTTGGGAATCATATAATTTATTCTCTAAGCTATCAGATAGAGATAAACAAAAAATAATCAGTGTATAAGCTAATAAAAATTCTTATTGAAGAGCAATTAAGATAAATCAGTTTCTCATAGTCCATTTTCATTCTTTCGGCAGAAGTTTCCCTCGGCCTCGGTGGCTTCTCAATGTGTGAAGTGATGTACTTGACCCATCCAATAATCGAATCGATTCCTTGAGCTTATGAACACGGTGATGAAGGCTGATAAGTTTATTACTGGAAGGTGTCATGATGCACCTGTTGATCACTAAACCCTAATTCTATGAACATGATATTAGACAGCAGACGACTCCTCATCTGAAAACTGGTTCTGACGTTGGTAATTCTCGGCCACAGCCTGCAAAAATTATAGCATAATACGATGAGCAACAAGAATATTCGTATATTTTGTTAGTAGCTATTCATGTTCCGCCAACGTATCATTGCAATCAAACAGGCCTATGGCCAGTAGCGTGCAAAGAGGGGTGCGGCTAGGCGACCGCCCCCCCCCCCCCCCCCTCAATTCTAGTTGCCAAAATTTTCCAAATGGTCCCGCTTTGGTACAACTTTGAACAACCTCAAAATTCTTCAAAAGGCGCCTTTGGCGCCAATATGACGGATTTTGAGGGCGGAGCAAGCGCCAAAAAAAATTGAGGGCGGAGCACGCATTTTTTTTGGTCAAAATTTTTTAAGTAGTGCTTTCAACGCATTTTTTGGCCGCTTTTTTTGAACAATTTGCCAGCGCAATGGAAAAATCAATTGGTCGACCTAAAAAAAACCGTCCCCCCCACCACCAAAAAAATTTCTGCGGACGCCACTGCCTATGGTCTAATGGTACCCGCTTGAAGTGATGATATGGTAGTATTGAACTGTATCTGAACGATTGGCACAGATTTCGTCCTATTTATTTAATTAACAGATTTCGTCCCCTATCCAACAGATTTCTAAAAGTCGGTTTCGATCTTGGGGATTACTTTGCTTGACTGAATTTAATACTGCCGCTAAGATTGTTAAGTGAAACTAGAGGGGCTATTTATATTCAACTTAAATGAAAAAGAGTTGTATTTAATGAAATCAAGTTAAGCGCGGTAAATGATAGAAACCAAATTTTAAGTAGAGTGAACAAAAGTATAAAATTTGATTATGAAAAATTACTAGTGAATTGTAACTTTCTCCACTGAACTCTGACCCACTCTTATCGCTCTCCTCTTTGTCCCTTTCTTCCCATGCTTCAAAACAAATATAAGGGTTTTGGGCATATGGTCTTTCTACAATTCTTGAACTACCAGCAATATCACAACCAAGCTCTCTTTTACTGAAGCGACATTGTCATAAGCCTTGATCAGGCACAGAGTAAATCGGACTGTACACACAATTTTGGTCCTCTTGTAAACTGCCTTCCAAATTTTCTTCATCAATGATTTGTTTAACGAACTCATCTTCAATAGTAAAAAAAATTACCACACGGAATTGCGGTAACAAGGCCGCCTAAAAAGATTCGCTTGGTATCCAATGAGATAAGGGTTAGTTTGTTTGTAACTAATAATCGTATTTCGACTGGATACTGATATTTTTCAATCGAAAAGTGCGGTGATCGAACAGACTCTGTTTGAACCTGTCTTTTTTGTACCGTCCAAGTGATTGCTTTCGCGGACTTTTTTTGAAGAGCTATCTAAAACAGGTTAACTGATTTACAAAAGGACAAGATATGAGAAATAATTCTAAAAATGATTGCCGAAACACCAAAACTATTGGCTCATTGCTGTAGTGAAAAAGTTGAAGGCGAATAATTAATTAAAGACCAGAACTGTTTTGGTAAAATGTTCTAACAACAAATAATTTATGCTAAAACCAAGTTGTTTGAATGAATGCTTGGATCAAAAAATTTTTGCATAATCGTTTTATCCCGTTTTTTATGTAGAACAAATCAAAAAATTGATAATTGAGAACACTTATATTTTTGTTCTAAGTGAATATAACTTCGGCTTCAAACCGATAAATTCCTCGATTATTTTCCCTGCCATCGCGTCTTTTAAATTTAGAACTGTCTTCTCGTTAATGTCACTATACATTGGCGATACTTTGAGATAGTTACTAAAGTCGAAGTGATTTCCCAGTCCTTTCAAATCTTTGTATACATCCTCGGATTTAATCACATGTATGACGCTATCAGTGTCTGAATACAGCGATTCCAGGTTAAATTTGGGTTTCACTCGAACATAGTGGAACTCAAAGATGAACTTTTTGGCCAAGTCAAATAATACCGCTCCCACTATTGTCGGCTTATCCCAGTGGATTAAACTTGGGGCTTAAGGCAACCTCTTCATCAATTATTTGAAAGGACAAAGTTTTTGCAAAGTTTGAGCTCTGACAAAGTTTTTGCATGATTTCATTTTCGTTACGAGTATTGCTGAGTTTCTTCCGGTTTCGTTTTGACTCCATCGTTTTACCGAAAGTAGAGTTAACAATGAGTTTAAAAAAATTCTCATCGAATGCAATCTTTGCTGCAGTCTTTAGCTGGGTGTTCATATCAATGAATAGAGCTATCCACTTAGCTAGTCGAAACTGCAACAAACTGTGAATGTGAGTGACTTTATTACCTAATAGTACGTAGAGATGAAGAGTCAGGTAATGTAGCTTATAACCTTCTTTCGCTGAAGTGTAGTGACTGAATCAATTTTTGTACTTTTGACAAACTCGTGATACCCATCTTTCTAAGCATTTCAATTTGGTCGGTACTCATGTGCGCCAGTTCAACTACTTCTTTGGAGGGCGCTGGTGGGTAATCCCTGAAGTAGTGAAGATAGTTAGGGTTGCTTTCGCCTAATGCTCGAATGATTCAGTGAAGATCATGGTTTGCTAAATTGTGTGCTATTACGGGAATGAAGTTTGTAGTCTAGCGGTTGATGTTGCACCTGTTATGGGCCCAGCCTAGAAACTTGTTTGCATAGTGACAGTGATCCGTCAGTTTTTCTTCGGCTTCCCCGAATTTCTGCTCGCAAATCCAAAATTCTGTCGCATCTTTATTTCTTGTCTGTTGTTGCCCGGTGAAGACATAGTGTCTGCTTTTTCCAACATAGGTTTCTTTCGCTTGAGTTTCTAGGCTGAGTAGCAATTTTCCATGCTATCGGACCCTCGTGGTTGCTCAAACTTGATCACATCTGATTTTCCGAAGTCGACAACAGCAAGGCCATATCCAGAGTTTTCATGTTTCTCAATAATTGTTGTACTAGATTTTTCTGGGTCAGGTTCGGCACCAGCAACATGTACAATCAACGACTCCTGGTCAAAATTAATTACACGTGGCTCAAACCAACGTGCACCAAAGTGTTTGGAAAAGTGTTGACCGTTTTCACGACTGGGCAGGGTGATTTCCATCTCGTCCTGTTGGTAACAAATATCAGGATCTCGTTGCAGGGTATGCAAAGAGGAGCCAGTGTGAAATCAATTTCGACAAATCTCTTTTATGTCCCGAGCAGCTCTTTTTCGAAGGAAATTGACCAGCTTTGCAAGGTCATTGATGAGCACATAGTGGAAGGTGGATCCATCAGAGAGAAGTAGTAGGTCCATCGAATTCATTTTCGTTACGAGTATTGCTGAGTTTCTTCCGGTTTCGTTTTGACTCCATCGTTTTACCGAAAGTAGAGTTAACAATGAGTTTAAAAAAATTCTCATCGAATGCAATCTTTGCTGCAGTCTTTAGCTGGGTGTTCATATCAATGAATAGAGCTATCCACTTAGCTAGTCGAAACTGCAACAAACTGTGAATGTGAGTGACTTTATTACCTAATAGTACGTAGAGATGAAGAGTCAGGTAATGTAGCTTATAACCTTCTTTCGCTGAAGTGTAGTGACTGAATCAATTTTTGTACTTTTGACAAACTCGTGATACCCATCTTTCTAAGCATTTCAATTTGGTCGGTACTCATGTGCGCCAGTTCAACTACTTCTTTGGAGGGCGCTGGTGGGTAATCCCTGAAGTAGTGAAGATAGTTAGGGTTGCTTTCGCCTAATGCTCGAATGATTCAGTGAAGATCATGGTTTGCTAAATTGTGTGCTATTACGGGAATGAAGTTTGTAGTCTAGCGGTTGATGTTGCACCTGTTATGGGCCCAGCCTAGAAACTTGTTTGCATAGTGACAGTGATCCGTCAGTTTTTCTTCGGCTTCCCCGAATTTCTGCTCGCAAATCCAAAATTCTGTCGCATCTTTATTTCTTGTCTGTTGTTGCCCGGTGAAGACATAGTGTCTGCTTTTTCCAACATAGGTTTCTTTCGCTTGAGTTTCTAGGCTGAGTAGCAATTTTCCATGCTATCGGACCCTCGTGGTTGCTCAAACTTGATCACATCTGATTTTCCGAAGTCGACAACAGCAAGGCCATATCCAGAGTTTTCATGTTTCTCAATAATTGTTGTACTAGATTTTTCTGGGTCAGGTTCGGCACCAGCAACATGTACAATCAACGACTCCTGGTCAAAATTAATTACACGTGGCTCAAACCAACGTGCACCAAAGTGTTTGGAAAAGTGTTGACCGTTTTCACGACTGGGCAGGGTGATTTCCATCTCGTCCTGTTGGTAACAAATATCAGGATCTCGTTGCAGGGTATGCAAAGAGGAGCCAGTGTGAAATCAATTTCGACAAATCTCTTTTATGTCCCGAGCAGCTCTTTTTCGAAGGAAATTGACCAGCTTTGCAAGGTCATTGATGAGCACATAGTGGAAGGTGGATCCATCAGAGAGAAGTAGTAGGTCCATCACAAATGTACATTGCAATTGTTTGGAAACTCGAATTGGTATCAGTTTATCTGGCAAGTACCTAGACAAAAAATTGATGTGGGCATCAATTAGCGGTAAATGCAGTTAAAATTATTTGTTTGGAAGTTATTATATGTTAAGAAATTGAACTCAGCGAAATACGTTGATTTGAAACTTGTTCTTTCTTTAAAATCTGTCGATGTCAAGAATGCTCATTGGCCTGTTAAAATCTGCCTGATCTTGACTAAACTCTTCCTGTTCATTTTTGTTTTCAATTTGAGTAGCTCCCTCTCCCAGCTGCTGTTCATGAACAACATCATCACTTCTTTCGTCTAAATTTTGATGATCATTACTACTGTTTCTGGCAAAAGATGAACCAGCACCCTCAGACGTTTCTTTTTTGTCCGATTGATGTGTCAGCTTTTGTTTTTTTGAGGCATGTTTCAGAAATTTAGTGGAGAGCAGGTCCATGTTTCAGATTATAGGCTGCAATAAAGCAAAGGAGAAAGCAATCGTTGGTTGTTTCGTTTCTATATAAACCAGGTTGAAGTTTTTTTTCAGATCGTTTGGTAGAGGCAAATAGCTTTCAGCGCGCATTGGTGACAGTTTAGCAAAACTGATGCTTAATTTCAAAAAAATTTCAACCGACCATTCACTACCATGTGAAGCAAAGCAGTTAATTGTATTGAGCATGTGCTCAATCATTTCATGAAATTTTCCTTTTTCCAAGCCACGTTCAGGTAAAACATGATTTTCTCAAATGTTGTTTCCTCCTGTTCAGCAATGCCGTGTTTCATCAAGCTCACTTCAACCGAGAATTGTACTTCGACTGATCCATTTTGAGTGAGCTCAAAAAGTCGTTGATCTATGACTTCCTTCTTCCGCATCATGAAATCTAGCAGGTCGAAAATTATTGAGTCATGGCCATTTGGTTAAGCGGGCCATAGCTAACCCGGCGTTGCTTGCCCCCACGTTACTCGGGAACGCCTCCCGTTTGATAAAGTCAAGTGAAGAAATTATCAAGTGGTTTTTTTGTACAAATTTTGATTTTCATTCTATTGAAAAAAAAATTTCCGATAAAAAAATTTTGTCTTTAAATCCAATGAAACCATTCTCAACCATCCTTCTATGATCTCGTGGGCATGGTTAGAACCCATGTTCAATTTTCGAAAAAAAAACAATTTTGATTTTTTAACCGTTTGTTACCACAAACTGTTGATTATACACACAACACCTGTTTATAAATGATATACAAATGCTCAATAAAGGCTTAAAACACTCTCTGGTACCTTCCCTAAAAGTACTAGCTAACCCCACTAGGCACGAAGTACAATGAGAGAGAGGGAGAGAGAGTGTTTGAAAAAGCCAAAATTATGTAGTTAAAATGGGGTAGTCGGCGAGCAACTGCAATTCTCTCTCTCTCTCTCTCTCTCTCTCTAATAAAATTTCAATTTTGACTGAATAAAATTTTCGTTTTTCTATGTCGTTAATTGTCTCAAGTTATAATAACTAAGTCTAGCAAGAAAAAAGTAATGTAATAAAAATTTTTCATCTAGTTCTATTTGTTTGTGAGCTGTTTGAACAAATAACTGACTGTATTTTTTATTGTTATATTTAGTTTTAAAACACAATCATAATGTATTTCATCCAATAGATGAGAAAAAAGAAAGCCAACAATATTGACAGACAGGATAAAACATATGATAGTATTTCAATCAAATTTACATGATCGCCAGAAACAATGTTTGAGTTTTTTTACGCCAGATATCGCCAGAAACAATGTTTGAGTTTTTTTACAACCCTTGGAATTTTAGTTTACGTGTATTGGGCGCATAGCAAGCATCAACAGGCGGCGTCACTTGATAGTCGTTTGGAGCCGTGAGATCGACGACAGAGCTCGAGCTCTGCGTCAAACT